CGTTTTTCCCTTGCATCAAATTTGTAACATTCCCAACCTTTTCCGTAGCAAGATATTGTCCGCTTTGGTCCTCGACCCTCACGGATTTTGACTTGGTGTGAAATTCAGGGTGACTTCCCATAAGGTCACCCATCCTTGTTATACTACACTGGGCAAGTTTAACTCTGGATTTCTTATTTCGCCCCAAAATGCGTCTTGTCGGTTAAGGAGAGTTTCTTACATATTAACCATGGATTTCTCCCGTGCTTAGTCGATGTGGCATTCGCGTAAGGTGTTACATAAACCCCCCTTGGGACTCAACATCCTCGTTGAGGTTTGCTCCACCATCGTTTTAGAGGGAATCAGAGAGGATATGATGCAACTTATAACATCCCGAACCTTTTTCCGAGCAAGATATTGTTCACTTCGGGCCTCGAGCCTCACAGATTTCGACTTGGGTGCAATTCAGGGTGAATTCCCATAAGGTCACCCATCCTTGTTATACTCCACGCTGAGCATGTTTAACTTTGGAGTTCTCAGAATAACTCCTCCATTTCATCCCAAAACGCTTCTTGTCGGTTAAGGAAGGTTTCTTACTTATGAACCATGGATCTCTCCCGTGCTTTGTCGTTGTGGGATTCACCCAAGGTGTTACAAAATCACGAAGATCAAGAGCATCCGAAGCCAAAAATAATTGAAGCAACTCATGGGAGATCCATTCTAAGAATATCTTTGTATGATGGTGGAGGAAAGATAAGGAGCATCAAAGATGGGAAGCAAGCGGGAAAAAAGCCATTAAAGGAGATATAGAGGTTGGTGCAAAATCATTGGAGCCTGCTCAAGGCCATACGACGGAGGCATCACAAGCTAGGAAGAAGGAAACATAGTGATATGATCCCACTTAGGCCAAATACCAAGTCTCAATCAATTGCAAAAGAAGACAACACCACTCACATGAAGATTGCTGATCTTCGGCTAAGTGTTTGGGCAGTTGCAGGATGCTCACTTTGGGATGCTATAAATTCCAATTGGTTCAACGAAAAATGTGAAAGGAAGGCTGGGAATGAAAGACCAAGCGCTGCTTTGCAGGTTAGATGGCATGGAAGAACAAGAAAAAGCCTTGGAGGATGGTTTCCAAGCTACTCAAAGGTGCATGTCAACACTGGGAATTTTCCAAATTTCGGCTAAGGTACGAAGTGTGTGCAGGAAGGAAACTTTGGAGCTATTTTCAAAGAGTAGGAAGGGGAGTCGAGTTCCAAGGTTTATTCAACATGAAAGTACGCAACTTCTAGTTCATAGACAAGGCATTGGTTTAAGCAGAACTTACCTTGAAGGCTTTGATCGAGAGGCTCAAACATGGGATCAAGGCAGTTTAGGTTACTTGGAGAAGAGGCTGAGTTTGAGTCTGAATGGAATTAGGAATAGTTTTAATTTGTTTCCTTGTTTAGTTTAGCTTCATTATCGGTTTGGGATTGTTGGTAGTTTGTATAAAACAACATGTAGGGTTTGTTTTTGGTTCATGTTTATGGAATAACAATTGAAAACCCTAAAACCAAGTTGTGTTACTTGTTTTTGGTTGAGAGTTTGGCCGAGAAACCAAGCTTGATTGAGCTCTTGCATCGATCAAAACCCCCTTGATCATGGGCGAGCATCGAATCATATTCGTTGAGCCTTCCTCCGGGTGTAGGATTGCACATCGAATTCCACCGAACCTCTTTCTTCTTCATAACGTATTGGAGGTTTGACAAAAAAAATTCAGAGTTTGAGAGTTCAAGCTCGGTTTGAAAATCAACACCCTTCCTTGGCAGTTATCAAGTGGTAATCAGAGCTCGGTTCACAAACAGTGGATTGGAAAGAGACGCACGTTGCTGGGATAGCGCGCTGGTCGCGATCAAAGTGTTCCGTTTCCAACGACCCTGAAGATGTACGCCAGGAACCAGAGGTTGAAGCAACAAAAAGACAGGACATCCTGCTATCTGACAACGATGCCCACGAAGAGCAAGCTGATCCTACTTCGATGGCGGACAGGCGAATATGATTCAGCTTTTGGCTCAGATGAGTTCCTTGTTCCAGGCACAGATTGATAAAAACGAGAAAAGGCTCGATGGTCTGTCATCTGCGACACCAGAGGCTTCCCGGAATACAATTATACAAACACTCTTCGCAACAGAGATGCAGAGGCAGATAGTGAACAAGAGAATCGCGAGCTCAGGGCTCGAATTGAAGAGATAGAGCAGCGGATGGTGGTGCACGATTTGGAACATAAGCGACGTAATCGCGGACAACGTGAATTTCAGGGAAGGCACCAGGAAACAGAGCCGGTCATCCCTCCCGGAATGAAATTCACGATCCCTACTTTCCAAGGAATGAACAACGCTTCCACTTACCTGGATTGGGAGCGCAAAATCACGTTATTCTTCTAGTGTGGCGATTATACCGATCTTTAGAAGGTGACCCTCGTAACGTACGAATTCTCTGATTACGCCGCACAATTGTGGGAAGAGGTTCAACTCCGCCGTTGATAAAATCTCCAACCAGAGGTAACTACCTAGGCTGAACTACGAGGTCTTATGCGTGAACGATTTGTACCTGGTTATTATCAGCGAGAATTGCACGAGGCATTGCAAGGATTGAAGCAAGGTCCGCGCTATGTCGAAAATTACTTTCGTGAACTCGAGCTGCTCATGATGTGAGCCGACGTCAGGGAGGATCGTGAGGCAACCATTGCTCATTTTCTCCATGGGTTAAGCCGAGAAATTCGTCAGGAAGTCGAGCTGCGAGCATTCGTAGAAGTGGAGTAAGTCATCCACATGGCGATCAAAGTGGGAAAGTAGCTTAAATTTGCTTCGGGAAGGCGATTCTCCCCCGCCACCAAATCAACTTTAGACACTTTTCCTTCCCCTGGTTTCTTACACCCAAACCGAAGCAGAGAAGCCCACCTTCACTCGCATTCAGAAATCAAAACCTGCGGAGATCAGTGCAAGCATACAGTGTTTCAAATGTTTTGGACGTGGGCACAAGGATAATCAATGCCCCAACAAGAAAACGCTCGTGCTACGCGACTGCGAGTATTATTCGAAGGACGAGGAAGAAGAGAAGCCTTGGAGTAGGCCAGTTGATTCCGAGGGCGATGAAATCGACGAGGAAATCCTAATTACTGACCCTCCACTAGGCAAACTCTTGACAGTCAGTAGGAGGGCCCTCACTGCCGAAGCTCCACTGGACTCAGACCAACGAGAAATTTTTTTTCAGTCGCGGTGTTTGGTCGCCGGTAAGTTCTTGTCCTTAATTGTGGATGGCGGTAGTTGCACCAACGTAATTAGCCAGGACGCAGTGTCCTAGCTTGGGTTGAAGACGACGCGACACCCTGAACCATACAACCTCCATTAGTTGAACGATTATGGTCCAATCAGGGTGACAAAAAGGGCCAAGGTGCGTTTTGAAATCGGAAGATATCAAGACGAACTTGACTTTGACGTCGCTCCGATGCAGGCAACCCATGTATTGTTGGGGAGGCCCTGGCAATTCGACCATGGTGTCTGTCATTACGGTGGCACGAACTAGTACAAGGTTCGGCATAACGGGAAGAAGTATTTGTTGGAGCCCTTAACACCCAACGAAGTTAGCGCAGATAGAAAACAATTGGAGCTCAGTCGCCGGTGATTGAAGGGCAAAATTGAAGAAGCACACTCCAATGAAGATGAGAGAAGCAGTGGAAAGGCCCAGTGATTGATGCTTATGGGATACAAGAGGCCTAAAGTCTCTCATCCCCGGCGGTGTTGTGCTGGCTCACCGGAATAGAGCAGGAGAGAGTGCCTAACAGTGGAGCTCTGGAGAGCAATCCGACCCAACCCCACAAGCCTGACACGTTCCTTACGGCATCCGAAAGCTCATGTTTCAATCAATTACTGGAGATTCCTTCTGTTTTGCAGGTATCCGATTGAGCTAAATCTCCTATGCAAACCCGTGCATATGGAGACAATATGCACGAATGGGTTGGATTCATTGGAAGTGAATCGACCTCATTGGCTACGGTAGGATCATCACCATCACCTCCGCGATTATGTAGAGTCAATCCAATTACCCTGGAGAGTCAGCGAATCGAGGAGCTCATCTCCCAGACCCTAGACTTATGCATCATCGAGCAAGTCCCCTCTGCTAACTGTCAATTCCCGGTGGCAGCTTTGAAAATTGTCCAAATTTGGTGGTTTTGTTCAGCCCCTGGTTATTCCCAAATCCTAGATCTCGACCGAACCCAGATCTCCGCCCGCCCTTCGCTCCAACTTCATCCCATCAGATCGTCGATTTTTCCACACCAATCATCGCCCGAGCCCTTGCCCTCTGCTATTGCTTGACGACAGCGCGACGGTGAGGAGCAAATCATCTCCTTGATGATGTATTGAATCCTCCCGAACGAAGTGACATAGCGGCTGGGCAAGAATCGACAAATCGATTGTTAGAAACCCCTAATTTTGACTCCAGATCTTCGACTGCGGCGAGGGGAGATGGCGTCGCTTCCTGCCGCTACTTGATTTCTTGCAGATCTGCTGGGGAAGCTCGATTTGGAGCGACGGCGGCTGTGGACGGCGACTGGACTTTCTTCTTCTCCTTTCTTCTGCCCAACGATGGCTAGGGACAGCGAGCGGGGTCTGGTGGCCTCGACGATTTGGAGCTTTTGTCACTGTGGAGAGGAACGACAACGATCTGGTGGTGATGACTAATGGCGGTGATGGGATAGGTGGAGAGGTCGATGGGATTCCATCTCTGAAGCGGCGGCCGAGGGTACTTGGAAGGGAAAGGGAAAGAAGAGAGAGTAGATCGAAAATAAATAAACAATTTTTTATTTTGGTTAATTCCACCTAAGCCGCCACATCAGTTTTTCTGTTAGTCCATTCTGCATGTTAGTTAACACCGTTAAAGAATTGGATGGAAGTGGCTATAAGTGGTATACTGGTATTTCGTCAAATTTGGCTATTATTGGCAAAAACGCAAAAGTTTTGGCTAAACAAATGTATTTTGCCTAAATATTAAAACTATTATTTTTTCAAATATATTTTCTTGTGAATACGCAAAGCGGTAGCGAGTAGATTAAATCCTTTAAGTGTTTTCCAAATAGTGGATTTAGCCAAAATCCACTCGTCCACGAATTGTTGGCCATAATTTCTGGATACAAGGGTAGCCCCGCCTTCATCTCCGCTGGCTTATTGGGCTCCGGGGATAGTGATTGATGTTGTCATGTATTCATGTTATTAAGGACGATGGAGATATGAGCAAAACTCCAAGTGAGAGACCACAAAACAGTTGTCGTAGCCTTTCCCTATCAACACTCGAGAGCTTAAGTCGTTTGCATGGGTTCAAATTGATGATGAGTGGGCCACTTTCAACCACATAAAAATCACAATTGGCCCATGCGCCAATTTTTGCCCGCTCCAATTGAGAAACTTTTTTTTTTTACCTGTCACATGCTCTGTTTTCTGGCCACAAGTAACAGAGGTTGATCCTTCTGCAGTGTAAGTCCAAACTTCTCGTCCATATCCAATTTGGCCGGATCCTCGCCCCCGGGGAGAGCCCAATCAAACCCTTTAATCAGCGAGGCAAGAATTAACGGCAATTGTTTAGCTGCCATGGGAAGTCCCGGGCACACCCTCCGACCTGACCCGAACGGGAGAAGCTCAAAGTCATGACCTTTGAAGTCCACAACAGCTGACCCGCTGTTAACGAACCTCTCTGGTCTAAACGACAAAGGGTCCTCCCATACGGATGGATCTCGACCAATTGCCCATATGTTAACTAACACCTGGGCATTCTTGGGGATTCTGTAATTCAATACTTCGCAAGTCTCCAACGCGCAGTGTGGAATTAGAAATGGTACAGGTGGGTGTAACCTAAATGTCTCCTTTATGCAGGCGTTCAGAAATGTCAGCTGAAAGACATTAGCCTCGTTAATGGGGTTTCCCCCAATTTCTCTCCTCAACTCTTCGCGAACTTTCGTCATGGATTCCTCGCTTTTTAGAAGCTCTGTCATTGCCCATTCTACTGTCGTAGTAGTAGTCTCTGTTCCCGCCGTCAACAATTCCTGCGAATTCCGAGAACAGATTTGTAAAATCAGATTATATAAAAGCAGACAGAAAAAAAAAACAGAGCTCAAGTGAAGTTTATCGGAATTACTTACAAAGAACAGCCAATTGATTTTCTGATCGTCAAACCCATTGGAAAGAAAAACGTCCAGGAAATCGCCTTTCGGAGCGTCCACATGAAATTTCGATTCATGGATTTCCCTTCTTTCCTTAATGTAACTATCCCAAACTGAAAACATTTGGCTAACGACCTTGGCCATCTTCTTCTTCAAACCCTGAGGGTCTAGCGGCGCCAATACAGGATAAAAATCAGCAATACTGGGAGTGGCTCCAAGCTCCATCATTTTCCAGATATGACTCTTTAACCCACTAGCCTTCCCCTTACGATCTTCCAACACCAACAAGTCATCCGAGAAGAAAAGGTTACACAGAGAATTGAAAACTGTAGTGAACACGATTTCACCAATATCAACAACTTTCCCTTCTCTGGCAGCAAGGAATTCCACCATTTCACAGACTTTCCTCTCCCTGACGGCGGCCTGTGACTCGATTGCTCTGCCGGAGAAAAGCTCCGTCCTGCAGAGCGCACGAAGTGACTTCCAGCTGTCGTTACACGTGGTGGCCCACACGATTGCCATTCGGTTGACATCGCTGATTTTGAACGGACTGGATTTGCTTTCGTACCTTGCCGAGAGGACTCGGTCATGGGTTTTGAGGATTTCGGCTGCTGCGGCCGGAGAAGAGGCGACGACGATTAGCTGAGCGCCGAGCTTGACTGAGATTAAGGGGCCGTACGATTTGGCGAATTGGGACATGGTGATGTGTACCTTTCTGGTCATGTGTGGAATGTTTCCGAGAATCGGCCATGGCTTTGGGCCTGGAGGCAGAGGGAGCTCTGCCTTCTTCTTTGAGTTAACGTGTTTGATTGATAGGAGAAGTAGCAGCGGTAGAAGGAGGAGAAGAAGGAGAGCTTCATAGTTGGAAACTGAATGGTCCATTGGTACTCTTGGGTAGCGATTCCGATTTCAGGATAAGGTGGCCGGCACTATAAGGGTTTTGCATTATTTGTATAGAGAAGAAGCTAAGAGAGTTGTCGGCGGGATATGTGATTGGAAGTATTTAAATTCGTGACTGTGAATAGGGATGACAATTTTGCTCATATCTATAGGTATGTTACTATCTAATTTAATTGGGTTGGGTATGGAATACAAATAAATGGTAGATGGTTAGAGTTTGATGACTTTGTAGCCATACTAATTTACTTGGGTTGGGTAGGGTTTTTAACAAATGGGTTTGGGTTTGTACCCATGCCAAAATGCAAATTACAGTTTGGTATCTAAACATAATAGATATGCATGTTTAGTCCTAATTTTTTGTTTTTCATATAAGTCCACAAAATAGATGGAAAATTATGTTTAGTACCTAAATTTTTTGGTCTTACATTTGGTACCTAAACTTTTCAAGTTTTACAAATAGCTCCAATTTTTGTATGTGTAGTTAAAACACCCTTAACTAAATTGATATATATATCCTACCCACACCCATTTAGATTATGAAAGCAATATTCATACTTAACACAAACCCATTTACAAGGGAGTTACTAATTAACGCCCTAAAATTAAAAAATTATCACTATAACTTGAACTAAAATTATACATCTGCCCCCAATCCCTAAAAAGTACTGGAAATCTGAAATTACCATCGCCCTAAATCATGAGTCGCTCTGCTGTTCTGGTCTACTCTGCCCGTCTCAACTCTCAACCACCACCTCTACTACGTCTCCGCTCAAGAACAATGGAGAATAGGAAGAATCTGCGGCCACCTCAGCTGCTCCTGAACTCGAGGAAGAAGGAATCCCACGTAGTGATGGCAATGGGTCGGGGCAGGGGTACCTCAAAACCCATGCTCCGCCCCGCGCTAGTACGGGTCGGGGAGGGTAACACCCATGCGGATACGGGACGGGGCCGGTCGACCCACTCTTACATGCTATTTGAGAAAAAAATATACGTAAAATTTTACTTTTTATGATAAAACGTAAGGGAAAAGACTTCATAAATGAATAATAGTGATAATATAATGGGTAATTGAGTCTATTTAGTTGAAATATCAAGTCTAACTAGTTGAATAAAAGCATAAATTGGAGATATATGAATGAATGAGGTAGGAAATTGACCTAAAACTGTTGAATCTTGTAAAAGGAAATGGTCTACTTTTTCTCATTAATCAGAAAGGTAAGTTAAAATACATTGTCCTTATTACACATTTATATATATATCTGTATATTAGTAAATAACAGAATAATACAACAAGAAACAAATATTACAATTTAGTTCCTATACTATTGTTTTATTACAACGGAGTCCTCCAACACCCCCCCCCCCCCCCCCCCCCGCGCAAGCTGGAGCGTGAATGTCAATCCGATTCAGCTTGGAGATGAGTCCTGTGAAAACAACACTTGACAAAGACTTTGTAAAAATGTCAGCAAGTTGATTCTCACTGCTGATAAACAACACTTTTATCAAACCTGACAAGATTCTATCACGAATAAGATGACAATCGATCTCAATATGTTTTGTACGCTCGTGAGCAACCGGATTTTTAGCTAAACGAATAGTAGATTGGTTATCACAGAATAACACAGTAGGAGAGTTAAATGAAACACCTAAATCCTGGAAAATGTAATGTAACCACTGTACCTCACATGTTAAATCTGCCATGGCTCGGTATTCGGCTTCAGTGGAGGATCTAGAAACAGTAGGCTGCTTCTTGGATCTCCAACTAATAATTGAATCACCTAAAAACACACAATAACCAGTAATAGAGCGCCTAGAATCCGGGCATCCAGCCCAATCACTATCTGAAAAACCAGTCAGTTTGATAGAAGAGTTGCTAGGAAAGAAAAGGCCTTGTCCTGGGTTATTCTTAAGATATCTAACGACTCGATGGGCTGCATTAAGATGTACATCAGTTGGAGCACCCATGAATTGAGTAAGATGATGCACAGCATACACTATATCAGGACGTGTATGACACAAGTATAGCAAACGTCCTACAAGTCTACGATAAAGTTCTGGGTCAGAAAGTGGATTACCATCAGTCGTTGAGAGCTGGCTGCCAGCTACAAGAGGTGTGGCAGCAGGCTTAGCACCAAGCAAACCTGCATCTTTGAGTAAGTCCAGAGCATATTTTCACTGACATATGGAAAACCCAGCAGTGTTTCGAGCAATCTCTAGCCCTAGAAAGTATTTAAGTGGTCCTAAGTCTTTAATTTTGAATGCATCATCTAGCTGTGTTTTAAGCAAGGTAATAGCATCTAAATCATCACCAGCTAGAATTACATCATCCACATACACTAGGACAGCAAGAGATTTACCCATACTTGACTTAGTGAACAAAGAATAATCAGCCTTAGACTGTGTATATCCAGCACAAACAAGAAACTGAGTAATTTTATGATTCCACTGTCGACTAGCCTGTTTAAGACCATATAATGACTTATTAAGTTTGCATACTAGATTTTTCGAAGGTAAATGTAAACCTGGGGGCGGTTTCATGTATACTTCCTCAACCAAATCACCGTGTAAAAAGGCATTATTAACATCAAGTTGCTGTACATGCCAGTTTTTTAATGGAAGCAAGAGCAAGTAAAGCACGAACAGTAGTAAGTTTTGCTACGGGAGAAAATGTTTCTAAATAATCTATGCCTGGAGTTTGAGTATAGCCTTTGGCAACTAACCTAGCTTTATATCTCTCTATACTACCATCAGGTTTAAACTTAATGCGAAATACCCACTTATTACCAATAGCATGCTTACCTGGAGGCAGTGGAGTTAGAGTCCAAGTGTTGGTGTTTGCCAACGCTAGGAGCTCTAAATCTATAGCCTCAACCCACCTAGGGTCCTTAGCAGCCTCAGTATATGTAGCTGGTTCTGTTTCATTAATTACAGCCATAATAAATCTTCTATAGATGGGTGACAACCTGTCATAAGATAAAACACTAGACAAAGGATATTTAGTAGTATTAGTATGCAGTATATAATCACTTAGTTTCTTTGGGGAAACTCTAACTCTATCTGACCGCCTAACTGGTAAGGTACTGCTAGGTTGTTGTTGAGGTAAGAGAGCTGTTTGAGAGGGAATAGGAATGTCGGCCAGATTGCAAGCAGATGGAGTGATAGAAGGGGAAAGAGAGGATGAAGGCAGAGATGTATTGCCTAAGCAAGAGGGAATGGACTGAGAAACAGGACAGTCAAGTGGCTGAATATCTATAAAGGGAAGAGCCTGATCAAGACTAGAAAGAGACAGATCACTAGTAGAAAATGGAAATATATGTTCATGGAATGAGACATCTCTAGATTCCAAAAATTTATGAGAAATGAGACTATAAAGCTTGTAACCTTTAGTAGCAAAAGGAAAGCCTAGGAAGACACAAGGTTCTGCCCGTGGGGAAAACTTAGGACGATTGTGAGCTAAAGTAGATGCATAACATAGACTACCAAATACACGTAACAAACTATAATCTGGTTGTTTGTGAAACAATAGTTCAAATGGAGATTTATTGTTTAGGACTGGAGTAGGTAACCGGTTAATAAGATGGACAGCATGCAACACAGCATGTCCCCAAAATTTAACCGGGAGAGAAGCTTGCATTAGAAGCGCCCTAGCAACAGCAATAATGTGCTGTTGTTTGCGCTCTACACGGCCATTTTGCTGTGAAGTAGCATTACAGGTAGTTTGGTGAATGATACCTAAGGAAGAATAAAAGGATGGCATATGAAATTCAGATCCATTATCTGTCCTAATAGCCTTAATCTGTTTGGAAAATTGAGTTTGGACATAAGCACAGAAGTTTTGGACAAGAGACCTAGCTTCTGATTTAGCATGCATCAAATAACACCAAGTATTACGAGAATGATCATCAAGGACAGTAAGAAAGTAACGATGACCATCTGTGGTTGGAACACCATATGGTCCCCATATGTCGATATGAACCAAGTCAAACATACAAGCAGCATAAGAAGTGCTAGACTGGAAGGGTAAACGACGCTGCTTAGCAATAGGACAAACAGAACAGTGCAAATTTTGACACTTAGTACTACTATCAGACAGACCAGGAACAAAACTATGGCCAAGACGATAATGCCATTTATCAAAGTGTCTTATAGTAGTGTCAAATGCAGCAGACAAAGTAATAGGAAGGGGTAAAGAGGAAGAATCTCGTCCAGATTCGACTTCGAGGTAGTACAGCCCGGCAATCTGCTTAGCTATACCAATCCTCTGCCGGGACGGGATATCCTGAATCAAGCAGTAAGAGTGGGAAAAAATCAATTCACACTCATTTTGCTTAGCTAACTGACTAGCTGACAGCAAATTGAAGGTGAATGATGGAATCATGAGAACATTATGCACAGTTAATGTATTAGACAACCTCACAGACCCTTTGTGTGTAACAGCTATACGAGAACCATTAGGCAAAGTCACAAACATACCACTCAAGGGTGTGAAATCAACAAACAAGTCTAACGAACAAGCCACATGATCGGTAGCACCACTATCGATTATCCATGTATTAATAGACGCACCTAACCGTTCTGGAGGAATAGAGGCAAGAGTATACTTACCTGATGCAGCATAGGCTGCTAGCTGGTTAGGCTGAGTCCACAGAGAAGTAGAGACAGCAGCAGGACCCGAGGAACTCGGCTGGATAGAGCTAGAACTCGGCTGATCAGACATGAGGCAAGAGACAGAGCTCGATGCTGATGCAGATCCAGCTTGAGCAAGCAGTGTGTGATACTGCTCTGAGGTAAGAACGACTGACTCGCCAGAAGGAACACCAGCAGATGACGGAGCCTGCTCATCAGCAATCGCAGCGTTGACCTTGCCTTTGCCCTTGTAGCCCGGCGGATAACCGTGCTTCTTGAAGCAACGATCCACCGTGTGTCCGACGCCACCACAGTGAGTACAGACAGGTCGCTGCTTCTGACCAGCACCACGACCTTGACCCTGACTCGGACCAGAGGAACGCCCAGCCATAGCCATCGGAGTGACCACCGAAGGAGCACCAGAGGAATGGAGTTGTCGCTCATGCTGAATCACCATGGAAAAGACGCGAGTGATTGGAGGAAGCAGCTCCATGAGTAAGATCTGGCTTCGGATGTGAGAGAAAGAGTCATTGAGACCTTTCAGAAAGCGGATGATCTGATCGGACTGCTGATGAAGACGAACGACGTTGAGAGCACCACAGGAGCACCTCGGAGTACAGGAGCAAGAAGGAAACGGCCTGATAGTCACCAACTCGTCCCAAAGAACGCGAAATCTTGTGAAGTACTCGCTGACTGTGGCTGCTCCTTGCTTGAAAGCAAAAACCTCATCCTGGAGATCTGAGATCCTAATCAGACTTGCTTCGCTGAACCGATCTTGAAGATCTCTCCACACCTCGACTGCCGAATCGAACCAGAGAACACTGTGTGCGATGTCTGGAGCCAAGGAGCGGTAGATCCAGCCAAGAACCATCACGTTGCACCTCTCCCAAGCACCGTGAAGAGGATCGCCAGGAAACGGTGGCGCGACGGCGGGATCGATCAGAGAGAGCTTGTTCTTCGCCAGCAACACGAGACGCATCGATCTCGCCCATGCATAGTAGTTGTTGCCGTTGAAGACGACGGTGACGAGCGCCGACGCCGGATTATCTCCGGGATTGAGAAAGTAGGGGTGACTAGGATCGAGCAATCCGGCGGGAGGCACGAACGAGAAATTCGCAGCCGCCTGAGATGATTGCTCCGACGAAGTCGCCATTGAAGGAGAACGAAGGAAAGTCGAAGAGAGCGGAAGTTTTGAGAGGGAACCCTAGAACGAAATTGGGAAAGTAAGAGAGAGAATCAAGATTTTGACTCTGATACCATGTTGAATCTTGTAAAAGGAAATGGTCTACTTTTTCTCATTAATCAGAAAGGTAAGTTAAAATACATTGTCCTTATTACACATTTATATATATCTGTATATTAGTAAATAACAGAATAATACAACAAGAAACAAATATTACAATTTAGTTCCTATACTATTGTTTTATTACAACGGAGTCCTCCAACAAAAACAGGCCAAGAATGGGACGGGGCAGGACAGGGCGGGTCGGAAGTTGATATCCATGTCCCGCCCCATCCTACTGCGGGTCGGGTAATGCCCGGGGAGGCGGGTTCAAATTTCCATCCCTAATCCCACGCCGCTCACCTCCGCGTCTCCCTCCATCTTCAATCCAACCTCCGACACCATAATCCGACCAGTGCACGACCTCCTCTACCGTCGGCTAGAATCCGTCGCAAGCAGGATATACAGTCCTTCACTTGCAAATCCCTTTGACAATCCTCTAATCGGCTCTACGGATGTAATCCTTCGATGGTTGAACCAACGGAAACTCGCCAGCGCAGCCTCCACTTGCAAATCCCTAGCAGAACTCTCCCTATTCATCACTCTGAGGCCAACCTCCGACGCTTCCAGATCCTTCCCGTTCCTTTCCATCCTCGAGGGGTGAGGGGAAACGAATTTAGGGCGGTGGATTTCTTTTCTTCTTCATCCTCGAGTGGCGCAACAACATAGGTGGAGGTGGAGGCTGCGACCGGGACGGGCGGAGCAGAGCAAAGTAGAGGTGGAGGTGGCAGTTTATTCATCCTCAAGCTGCGCAATAGCAGAGATGGAGGTGGCGGTGGCGAAATGGACGAAGCAGAGCAAAACAGAGGTGGAGATGTTAGGGCGACCGCTTGGGGATTGGGGGCGTAATTACTAATTAGGGATTAGAATTAGTGGTTAGGGGTAGAATAGTCTGTTTGGGTAAGTTTAGGGCAAATTTTTTAAAAAAATAAGGTGTTAAATAGAAATTTAGACTTACAAACCCTCAAACTCATATTCACCTCACCCATACTCTACCCATAATGAATGGATCTACTTGGATTAGGACAAAATTACCTACGTGTGGGTAATTGCCATCCCTAGTTGTGAAGGGCTTACTAGTGTTATTTACTACCTTTACCGACCAAGAATATTGTCCACTCGCACAGTGAAGAAAGCTCGCCATTGAACGAATATTGACATTGACTTTTGTGGCAATTCTTATGCAGTTTTTTTTTGGGGGGATAATGATGATTTTCGATAGGTCATTAATTTTTACATTATTTTAAATTAATTATGTTTAAATGTAGAGTTTTTACAACAATTAAGTTTTCTAAAATGCGTCTTATCAGTTAAAATTGGATTGTTTTTTTAAGGTTGGATTGTTTTCTTTGAAACATGAATTTTTCTTGTACTTTGTACACCAATATTAATTTTAATTCTTAGATTGCTTGTGTTGTAATATTTAATGTCACTTATCCTTCAAAATTATGTTATTTACATTTTTATAGATAATATCTAATATGAATAAATATTTTTATCAAATTTAAAAATTTTGTCAAAATTTAGTAATTATTTTTTATATTGCTAAATTAATTATGGAAAAACTATACTTTCTACAAATTGTTGAATTATTCACATCTTTTTTCAGGAATTCTTTGATGATCCCAGATATCCACATAAGCCATCCCATTTGGTGCTCCCCCACCATTAAAAAATTGACACCTGGAAAAATAATGGTGTATTGACGACAAACTTTGGCTCATCAATTCCTCGTTAAATTGTGCTAATGTTGTACTAGTCACGGGCCCGGCCAGTTGGCTGGATTCAGTCGCCCATCACGTAAACACCATTATTAAATTGAATTTGAAATGCACGGATTTTGATTGTATAAGAAAATATAAATTATTCAAATACTTGAAATATTCAAATTATTTGGTAAAATAAGAGAATATAAATTATTAAAGTAATTCAACAATTTAAAATGATCAAAATCATAGTGGTTTTCGACATTATAACTGACTCATCGACTATTTTTTCCCGAAAATGAAATAAAAATCCGAACCAACTCCTAAAGACATTCTAAAATAATCCTTCTATTTACTACTCATCGTGAGAGATCACTGCACATTTTCTTTTTGACTTGTTTGCACTTCCTCCATCATAAGCAACATTATCACTTGCACCAATGTAAATGTCTTCATCTCCATTAGTGATATATTTATCTCCATTATTAATTTACTCTTCTTTCTTCTCTTCCATTTAAATAATTTCTTCATTATTTTCCTGCATTTTATCAAGCATAAAATATGATGATAAACTATTTACAAATATCAATAATATTTTTCATTTGAGTGGAATTTATCTCATCCAAGTTGTGAACAATATCATTGCGTGTATTAGATTTTGCTTGAGAACTATTTAATTTAGATAGTTATTGAAATGTCACTTTTCAATTATGAGTTACACAAAATGTAAGGTACAAATCTACTAACTAATGATTTGATAAATGACTACTTGACTGAATATTTTTAAGAAAATTTTACTTGATAACTGAATACAATGTTATAAAGTTTTTTTTTGTTAATGAGATCCCATTAAACTCGAATCTTGGCTACGCCATTGTTCGTGGCTCCAAGTGAATTGTGCATTGCTTTGCTCCAATTGTTGTAATTGATGGCGATAAGCTGCTCTGCTACTAGGACTAGACCAGACTTATCATATCCACGGAGATAAAAGGGATCTGCCAGAGGACCTGGGTTGGCTGCTATTTCTTCATCTTTCCCACTTACATCTACATCTATGATATTTCGCCCAAATCATCGCCTTGGTCCACCAATTCGCAACCCATCTCGAAACACTATCGACGAAATCATAGGTTGTTCTCTTCCACCGTTTGCCACGACCGCTACCGAAGATTAATATCACTACAAGAAAATAGACTTTTCATCACGGGATATATTAATTACGGGATTGTTCCCATGACAAATGGTTTATATTTGGTCACGGGTATAATCTCCCGTGTTTAAGTGTGCCAAACAATGCTAATTGATCATGGGAACGTTTCCCGTGATGTTTGGTCGAGATGTTCCCGTTACTTATGAAGGTCCTTACCCACGCGTAAAAAAATGATGGCGGTAAGAGTTTCGTTTGGGCTCCAAGGCTCAAATAATTTGGTTTTGGCTCCATCTTTTCATTAATTTCAAACTTTACCAAATTTTTTTGAGAGGAACGGATACATAAGTACTTATCCGTAAACCCTTATCCATTAGACTCATCCCCTAGAAAAAAACTCCATCGAACCCTAATCGGCTTCTTCTCCTTGTTCCGTTCTCTGGCATCATCGTCCCGCCGCTGTTCTCAAGTTGGTGATAGAGAACGCGTCAATGGCCGCTGACATTTCCAGTTAGACGACCTCATTCCAATCTACATCTGCTCTGACTCCTCACCGCTGGCATCTTCGCCCCAGATCTATTTGACTATTTCGCTCTCCCTCAATGTACTTCAGCTACTTGTTATAGGCGATGTCGTTGTCCTTTTCATCCCAACTATATGCTTCTTCACCATATCTCTTCTCCATTAATCCTTAATGTCGAATTTGATGAAAATATAAGAATGTAGAAAGATTTGACTTTGTGTATCTGGGTATCATTTAGGTTCTGCTACTGGTCGATTGGGCAAGCGGTTGGTATCTGGCAAGACAACAATAAGTGAAGGTGTCCCATTTGCTTCAAGGTATGGTTCAATCTCCACGTCTTCCTACTAGGGCTAGAATCTCCATTGTTGGTTATTAGTTTCTATTTGGGGTTAATATGATACTAGCCCCTTTAGGCTCGCTCGTAATGATCATATGGCCTTACATATCTTTGATTCGAAATTATACAAGTGATACCCATGGATGCTTGAATTTAGGTAACTCTATTTGGGCTTGTTCTTCATTGGGTTTGTTTTTCTCTTTGTCCCAAATTACTTGAAGGCCCTAAAGGAATTTTTGTTTTACGAGCATTCTTCCTTTGTATGTGATCAGGCTTTCAAGGAGGGGATGCTTTGCTGTGAATTCTGTAGCCGTTTTCCTCTTGGTGGGTTCTGGTAGGATACATATATATGGAGGTTGAGAGTCGTGTCTGTATGATTAAATGTGTCGATATATGGATGAACCCTGTAGTTTATTTGATGGTTCTACATTATGTTGTTGTAGTTTGCAGCTTGGGATAGGATAATATTACTTCCTGTTGATTTGTTTTGTTTCGTTGTGGGTGGGTTTCCTTTGTTCTAAGCTGGTGGGATTTAGTGTCTCCTGCCTCAAGAGACCAACTGTTAGTTTGTCCCCTGTTTTATGTAGCTTTATGGTTCCTTCATCCATTTTATTCTTCTTTCAGAGGTATGTGCAGAATATGGCTGGTATTGGGGTGATGTTTCATTTTCCCATCAAGAATACCTATGTCTGCTTCTTTGTTATTAGTATTATCTTAATACTTTGTTTATGTATGTGGGACTGGTGTTTAACGATAGGCACCTACTTGTGTGATTGTAGTGGAGAAGGGTGTTTGTGACTGCAGGTTATGCCTCTCCCCTGCTCCACCACTACTCAATATCACCATTCACCACTTAGCTATAAAGTTTCTAAACTTTTTTTTTTTGTTTATGGCTATTGCAACTTTCACAAAATCTAACCGTAGCAATAATATGAGTTCTTGTACACCATTTGCTACTTTTTTGTAGGTACTTGTGGTGTTCTGGTGGTTTGCAATCCTACACATGTTGCTGTAAGTTCCTTTCCAAGTTTTCCCTTGTTATTTCCTTTGCTATGTAGAGGGGAGAACTCCATGAAACTATCTAAATATGTTGTCGTTGTTATTATGTGTAAGCAGAGTCGTAGTTTGAGATATACTAGGTTCTATTTGGTTGAACTTTTTGCAGCTTGCAGATAGCATCGACATGGATAGATTGGAGGAAGATTTAGTCCATGAAAAGTACTTGCGATTGCAAATTGTAACTAGAACAAGTTTGATTACATCTTTAGATTTTATCTTTTAGGCTACTTGAGTGCTCTCCAAAGGAACATTCATTAGTCCCTTGTAATTTTAAGATGTTTCTATTGATATTATGATACTAAAATTTATAAGATGCAATTGAAATTTCATTCATTTATAAAATTATTGATTAATGTATTTGAATTGCTCTTGATGTTAAATTTAATTAGGTAATTTATCGAAAAAGTATAATTAGGTAAATATAATATTGCAATTTTACAGCGACTACAATCCCATGGCTATTAGGCAAAATCCTGTGACAAAAGATACTATTAGTCACGGGAAATCCTGTGACTATTTATTAATTTTGTCACGGTAATTTCCCGTGTTTAATTATTGGTCACGGGAAGTACCGTGACAAAATAGGTCTTATGTCACGGTGGTTTCCCCGTTATTGTTTTCTTTAATGTCACGGGATTTCCCGTGATATTTGACCTTCGATCACAGGCATGCTTGACACGGGAATATACCGTGACAAAAACTTTCCGTCACGGGAAATGGCTGTTTAGTCACGGGAATTCCCGTAATTGAAAATGATTTTTCTTGTAGTGTATATAAAAGTCTAAGTTGTGAGTTACAATTCATTAGTGGCTCTCACACTCCACCTTGCAAGTGGGCAAGCTTCAAGTTCCATCTTTTACCCCATTCTCCCATTCTACCACCTTTGTTTTCATTTATTGTTCATTGGATCTACATTTATTGCCCATTAGATATCATCTTCCATTCATCTTCCCCACTTACATATACATCTACGATCTTCATCGCATTGGTCCACCAATTCGCAACCCATCTCGAAACACTATTGACGAAATCATAAGTTGTTCTCTTCCACCATTTGCCACGACCGGTACCGAAGATCTATATCATATTAATCACTACAAAAAAGATTGGTTGATGTTACTAGACGATTGATGTCACAAAAGGCCTTTTCTTGTCACAATAGGGTTGTTTTGACGAAATACGATCGTTGGTGAGTGGTGCGGTAAAGTTCCCTCGCTAATAGTTTAAATGTACTTGCGTCACAAAATCATACATTTGTGACAATTATTTTTTTGTTGACCAAATCTACTTTTAAGGGGTGAAATATTATTTTTGAGGAGTGCGTTTTGTTCGATAAACTATAAATGAGGAAAACGAGTTTGTCCGTTAAGAAATAATTTGTTTATAAAAAATGACATTTTCCCCCGAAAATACCCTTTATACGTTTTGACCACAATTGTTTGTCATAAAAGAACATTTTTTGCGAGAGGTAATTATATTCCCAAAACACCCCTGTGGTATTTATAATGACTATCTTGCTTCACGAAAAACTATTCGTAATAATTGTAATTTTAGTTTGCAACGAGACAATAAGCTCAGAAAAAAAAATCGCACATATGTGACGCAAAATTTTTGTGGGAAGAAACTTATTAAATTAGACCAAATTTTGTGTTCATGTAACCAGATTGGTGCTTTAAAAATAGGATATTTGTAACACAAAATATTCGTTGGAAGATACATATTAAACTAACCAAATTGTTGTGTTAAAAAAGAATATTTGTAACACAAAATATTCGTCGGAAACGACTTACTAAAGCTAACCAATTTGTTGCATTACAAATAGAATATTTGAAACATAAAATATTCGTGGGAAGCAACTCGACAATTCTAACCGAATTTCGTTCTATTGTAACCAAATTATACCGATAAAACTACAATTTTGTCTGATTTTTTAAATATTTTTACTATATATTATTTGTGATGAAAACTAAAAACAATAATAATAAATTTTATTTTGCAGGGAATTTATTAAAAGCATAAAAGAAATTATTGAGTGCAATTTATTAGTAAAAAAAGAAACTTCTCCATAAAATTAGATGGCCTTACCACCAAAATTGTCTTAAACGCACATGGAAACCACCTTCAACACTTGTTCAAACATATAACAAAACAACCAAACACATAACAAAATAAAACATAACATAAACATAATCCGATTGAATAATGGAACTTGCAAAGTTCCTACAACTGGCTTCTTCCTAGCGCTGCAAACTTCTGATTGAAAATTGGAACTTGCAAAGTTCCTACTACTGCCTTCTGCCTAGCGCTACAAAGTACAAACTTAGTAATCATCATGGGGAGTTGTTCTCATTATCAGTATCGTCCACATCTTCATCATTCACTTCCTCGTCTCCATCTTCATCTTCATCATTCACCCCCTTGTCTCCAGCCTAAATTACAAAGTTAAATAGATCATGATAAGGTTCAGACCATTAATCATGCTCAACCAACTGAAAACAGCAACAAACACTTACACTTGAGGACTCTGGCAAAGTAACTCCTAGCCTCTTAAATGTGTCCTCGACAATCTGAGGAACTCCATTCTTCACCAGCACTATCTCTTCTTTCAGCATTCTTACCATCTCATCATTCTTCGCCTTCTCTTCCCTTCGGTCATCTTCGCACCTTTTGCTGCAGCCCTAACCGGAGGTAGGGCCAAACACATCCACACCACTTACCCCATAACCCATTCCCAACACACGTTTCCTAAGCTGCTTTCCTACAACCTCACCATAAATCGCAAACTGGTTCACCTCTTCCTCTTGACGCAACTTCTTGGCCTCCTTATTCTTCAATTCAACCTACACACATTGTATTTAATACCTAATACGCTGAGTTTAAATGATTTAAAAAAGCAGAAGAAAGCTAAAATTGCTTAACAAGCAATGTACTTACATGTATGGTATGAGGTTTTGGGGTGGTGAATCCACCATTGCCCTTCTTCACATGGAACTTCTTGAATGTCTCTATAGGATCTGGTTCTTTCCCCGTCTTCTTGATCTGCAAACATAAGAAAAAGGCAGGAGCAGTGAGCTCACACTTCTGACGATTGGATTCGTTCTTATTAAATACAAGAGAACAGATCGTGTTACCTGATCAAGCATAAACTTTGCCATGGGAACAGATCCGCCGGTAGCAGTGAGCTTAGACTTCTCACGATTGGCTTTGTTCTTATCACTGGTGCTCTGCCAGAGTATAAAGCAAATACAAATTAGATACAAACACAAATCATCATAATACACAAGTTTAGACAGCAATACATTACCTTCCAGTTTAGGTCCCTCCACTTGTTAACCATATCCCTCCAAATATGAGCAGGGATTTTACTAGGTGGATTGTTAATCCTTTCAGCGAGGGTATGATATTGATTGAATACTCGGTTACGGAACTCATACATTCACTGGGAAAAGTTCCTCTTGATGTGTTCCTTGAGATGAACATTGAGTTCTTCTTCTGGAAGAGAGAATGTGAACCCAGATTCCTTGAAACGAGCAATCACAGTCTGCAAAGCAGAAGCAGGGTACTCTGAGAATTTAATCCATGTACCAGTGATGCTCCTTTTGAAAAGGGCAGTGAGTTCATGGGCAGCCTGTGGTGTGACGATCCTGAAAATACAAAAGAAAGTTCATAAGATTTCGGCTCACTGGAATTATAGCTTGTCACATGGAAGGGCAATATCATGATTTATTACCTGTTTTCATGTATCTCAAGTTGAAGGCCATGGCCAGGCTTCACCCCTATTCCAGGACCTCTACCATTCTTCTTTTGAGCATAAGAACCTCCCCCAGTAGAGTGAGCCCCCTGGTTGAGGTTCACATCCTCTTCAAAATCTATGTCGTCATTCGGGGGCTGAACTTCTTCATTCTCCAACTCATTCAAATGTTGTTCACCCTCCCTTTCTGCTTGCGGAGTTTTCTGGCATAGTTCATTTTCTTGAGAAACCACTTCGATAGTCTCTAGAGGGGCTGACTTTTCTGGTTCCTCCACTGGCCTTTTGGAAGGCTTTGTCTTCCTAGCCTTCTTTGGCCTTCCCATCTAGCTAGCACAAGCAGAATAAAGCTTTTCGTTTGTATTTTTGATTTTCTGAGGGGAGGGGTTCTGTGCAGGTAAAAGTAATGTGTGAGGACGTTCGATATAAATAGAAGCGTCCTAATCAATAGAAAAACCCTAATCAATGTAAACTAGTCGTTGAGTTGTTTCTAGGAATAGGATAAAGAATTGAAGGCCAAAAACTTGGATGAACTTCTTCATTCGGGGGCTGAACTTCTTCATTCTCCAACTCATTCAAATGTTATTCACCCTCCGTTTCTGCCTGTTGTGTTTTCTGGCACGGTTTCATTTTCTTGAGAAACCACTTCGACAGTCTCTAGAGGGGCTGACCTTTCTAGTTCCTCCACAGGCCTTTTCGAAGGCTTTGTCTTCCCAACCTTTTTTGGCCTTCCCATCTAGCTAGCGCAAGCAAAATAAAGCTTTTCGTCTGTGTTTTTGATTGCCTGAGGGGAGGGGTTTTGTGTAGGTAAAAGTAATGTGTGAGGACGCTTGTTATAAATAGAAGCGTCCTAATCAAGAGAAGAACCCTAATCAATGTAAACTAGTCGCTGAGTTGTTTCTAGGAATAGGGTAAAGAATTGAAGGCCAAAAGCTCGGATGAATCAAGTAACGGGAAAATTACAATTATTATCAAAAGTAAATGCATGTTTTAATTAATTCATTGAATCAAAATCAATCTTGACGCTTCGTACCTCCCAGAAACGCAACAATCAATCTCGATAGGCTTTTCGCGTCTTGTGCCTCTCCATCTGATGATGGATTCTTCGTAATCTCGTTCACTCAGGCTTAAAGCAGCAAGAGTTTCCAGAATGCTGTGCTCAATTAAACGTTGGACGCGACCTTTGACACCGCCGTTTACACTATCCATAGTGATTTCCATTCAAGGGAAGTCTGGGGAACTCGATCGATTGAAGTCTGGAAAACTTGATCTTTCGTCTGAAATGAGAATAGAAAAGAGGCGGAGGGGAGTTTCCCCTCTTTCACACCCAACATTCGATGCATATCGTCATGGGGCGCCATTTTTTGTGTTGAAACGTGTGTGTTTTCTTTCTAATTTTTTTTTATAACAGTGTTGTTTTTCGCAAACCACCGTCGATTCAGTTTTTTTTAATTGAATAATAATTCAAAAGAGGGATAATGAGTATTGTTAGCCATATTTAACCCAAATCTTTTTTTTTTGTGCGATTTAACCCAATTTTTTCGAATATAAGTGATTTAAATATATTAATAAATTTATCTCTAATATACATAATTTTTTTATGAATATAGATATATTAGCTTTCAAAACTATACAATATGTCAGAATTTTCTAATATATATGAATAATTTTGACTCGACTCTATTGTCACTCCAGGAATTGGCCAAGTGAAACCACTTCCTAAAGCGTAGTATAGCGGGTTTGGGTTTAATTATCAACCCGGGTCCTAGATTTGATGACTACTCAGTGAATTCTTATTATCTAGCAATGAAACTTTAATGCAAGTCTAAACTAACAAACTAACAAAGCAAGTAAACGGTTGTATTCAGGTTAAGAGAGGTCACCCGGATATGGTTCCCCCTAGACTGCAGTTAAGCCGGATTGTAATTACCAAGTTCAGTTTCTATGATAGTTATACTGCGGAAGGTTCTTAAACAGCCTGAAGTCTCGACTAAAGGTCTTCAGACCCTCTCAATCTGAATCTCTAGCGGGCGACTAACCTCCACCGGAGTAAACAGATTGAGGCCCTAAGAACGAAACCTCCACTACCGGAGTAAATCCGGTACAGAATAGTGAGTTGGTTCCTCGACTAAAGTCACCAACTCCCTACCTTCAATCAAGGATACTCTATTAACCTAGGCAGATATTCTCATTCTAGGTTAAAGCAGAAACAACGGGAATTTGATCAGGATTCGAGTCATTCAATCATTAAAACCTCAATCGAATATAATCAATCGTACAATCAGTACTTGGGTTCATACAATCAAACCTAACATACAAATCTAGGGTTCTCCATACCCAGATGAATGGGAGAACTACTCCATGGAGAAGAAAGCAAACGCAGAATCAGACACGGAATTCATACTGCGAAGGATGGATTCCTGCTTCTGGACGTTGATTGGCACTTCTCCAAGCTCAAGCTGACCTCCAATGGTGTTGAAGATCAATCTAGGGCACTTGGAGACTCTTGTTCGTCGCTTTCTCTCTCTAGGAATCGTTCTCTCTCTCAAAAACTCGAATCCCCTTCTGTTTGGCTGAAAATCTGCTTAAAAAGGCATCAGTGGCCAAAGCACGGTCGAGGACACGGCCGTGCTTTGCCTGAGCCTGCCCGTTCCTCGGCCAGGCTTAATTACACGGCCAGCAGTTGGGATAAACACGGCCGTGCTTTGTGTCGGCCCTGCCCGTGTAATCAGCTCAGCTCTCGGCATAAAAAGCACGGCCACCAGAACCCGGCCGTGTAATGCTTTAGGGTGCCCGTGTTTTGGCTCCAGCTTAACGAAATAACTTCCGAATGCCCCGAAACTCGTGGTTAGCATTCCCTTTGACGCCTGGGACCTGAAATATGACAAAATAGCACAACCCGGCGTAAAATAGGCCAAAACACACGACTATGCCCCTCAAACGGATAAGAACTAGGGGCGCAAACATGTGCAATTACATCGTTATCAAACTCCCCCACACTTAACCGTTTCCTTGTCCCCAAGCAAACCTAACTCAAACCAATGGAGCTCTCTAGACCTCTATAGCAACAAACAACCCAGATCGTAGATAGAGGACTTCCTAGGTCATTTAGCAACTTACGAGGTCAACCGACGCACAAGTCATCTCATAGCTTCTTCGGCGAGCAGCATCATGGCAAACAGTGAACAGAGGACAAATGAATCGTGGATGTAGAGATTCTAAAAAACAAAGGATCATGGACTCACATTTTTCAAGGTGCTCTATTTTCTTTGAAGATGGTTGGAACCCCCTTTTTTTTTGTTTTGCTTGTTTTCTGTTATTCTTCTTTTCTTTTCTTTTCTTTTCTTTTCAAGGGTCCCAACCTGCTCTTACCGGCCATGCCAGGAGCGGATGTCTCGAGCCTCGTGCGGGGGAAAGACATGTAAGGGGGCTGGAGGTAGTAGGTGGAAATTGGGAACGAATTCCCGTCTCCCCTTACACACTTTCGCCCTATTCGCACGGGAGACGTTATTTTGAAGCACATTTTCGAGCACCTGTTATTTTCAAAACATGATACAAGAGTCCACGACCGGTAGAGAATCCACAACACCACACAATTCAAGGGTCCTAAGATCACTAATTCACTCAATCAACCAACACAATATGAAGAAGAAATGAGACTTCTTAAATGCATCAACATCCTCCATAGTGCTACACTACCTCCCTAAGTTGCATATTACTATTAAGACTGTCAATTCAAAGCATACTGAGCAGGCAATTGCAAGGAAACACGTACTTGGAGCCCTCAAATTTAAAAATTTGGACAGTGGACTAGGCTCCAAGCACACAAACAGATCTAATGCAGTCAAAAGATAAACATCCCCCCACACTTAAGATCGACATTGCCCTCAATGGAGAAGAGGGAAGGATGAGGGAACGATGTTACCGGTATGCACGGACTGCAGAAGACTGGAAGCGGGTCAGTCGGGGCAAGCACAGCCAAAGGGAAACAGAAGAGCTCAAACACAGTATGTTAGGTCCAATGGTCAGCCCAATAAAACATCATCCAAACCAAAAGAAAACAAACCAAACCCAAACCGGGTTACAATCCGACTCAAAACACAAGAAAGAAAATCAAACCGTGGTGGGGTTGCCTCTCCACAAGCGCTTCTTTACCGTCTTTTAGCTGGACGCCCATGGTGGATACTCAGGGCGGTGCAGGAACAGGTGCCTTCAAGAGAGGATCCACGTCGCTCTTGAGGTACAACTTGAGGTTGTGGCCATGCACCCGACGGATGCGACCACCATCATCAGTTAGCTCGACCTGCCCATCTGGCAAGATGCAGGCGAGTGAGTACCCGGACGGCCAGGGTGATCGTGGTGCAGGAGGTGGGACCAGCTCATAGTGGTCTCCACGCTTCTTCCGTGCAGGCTTAGCAACCTGCGGCTTCGGCCGCCACTCCTCCTTGAGCTTTTTGTTCAGGGGCGTGGCTGGATGGAGTGGCGGCGAAGGAGTGATAGGAGAGTCCTGCAAAATGAGAGGAGTAGAAGGATACACGACAGGCTCGTGTACCTGAACAGACATAGCATGCACAGGCGTGACAGCAATCATAGCACAGTGATCAAATTCAGTCACAGAAAAAGTAGCCTGTTCATTCCCAGCACGCATGATCAGTTTACCATCATGCACATCAATAAGTGCCTTGGTGGTGGCAAGAAAAGGCCTACCTAGAATCAAAGGCATATCCACATCCTCATGTATATCAAGAATAACAAAATCAACAGGATATGTGAATGCACCAACACCAACAAGCAGATCCTCTATGATTCCCCTAGGATGCACAATAGAACGATCAGCTAATTGAATGCTCATCCTAGTAGGGCTAAGTTCACCTAGGTCTAGCATTTTATACAACTTATATGGCATGACGTTAATGCTAGCGCCTAGGTCCGCCAAGGACTTTCCTACATGCATGCTGCCAATAGTAAGAGGGATAGTAAAACTCCCTGGATCCTTGCGCTTCTCGGGCAGCTTGTTCTGCAGGATAGCAGAACACTCCTCGCTCAGCAACACTGTAGAAAGATCCCCAAGTTTCTTCTTGTTGGTGCAGAGATCCTTCATGAACTTGGCATACTTGGGCATCTTCGACAGTGCCTCCACGAACGGTATGCTGATGTTGAGCTGCTTCAACATTGCCATGAACTTGGCAAACTCAGTCTCCAGCTTGTCTTTGTGTAGGCGAGTGGGGAAGGGAAGCTGGGGCACATGCTCCTTAACCACTGGTTGTGGCTTGGGAGCAGGGGCTTCCTTCTCCCCCCGCACTTCTGCATCGTCGGCTGGAAGTGCTGAAGCAGGTCGTGGTTCCTCCTGTCTGGCTGGGACAGGATCAGCAGATATGGTCTTACCGCTCCTAGTAAAAATGGCATCCAGCTGCTGATGCTGGTGAGGATCTCGAGGATTCGGGACAGTGGTGGCAGTCAAAGTCCCCGGTGCCCTGGTGGTGCTCTGGCGGGCCAAGATGCCCACCTGGGTCTGCAAATCCTGCAAAATGGCACCCTGGTTCCTCTGACCTGCCTCCAGTGAGGCTACACTCTGGTCCAACCTCATGAATGAAGCTAGAATGTTTTCCAGCTTCGTCATCCTGTCATCTGGAGTTGGAGCTGCTGCTGGCTCAACAAACTAGCGCTGGGGCTGCTGGAATGGCTGCCCCTGCCTAGGCTGGTAGGGCTGCTGCTGTGGGTCTGGCCCCTGGCGAGCCTGGAAGGGCTGCCTCTGCTGAAAACCACCTGCTGGTGCTGGGAAACCAGGTGGTTTAGTGGTGTTGCTGCTCCAGGCGAAGTTGGGATGCTGGCGCCACCCCTCATTATATGTGCTACTGTAGGGATCGAGGCGCCGCGCATTGGCGATGAAGGCCAACTGCTCCTGGGGTGTGGTAGACTCCCTCATAGCCTGGCAGTCCTCCACTAGGTGATTGGTGCTCTCACACCACTGACACTGAGCAACTGGAGGTGTAGCCAAACCTCTGCCCGGAATAAGACTGTTGGGCTGCTTCAATGTCTGCATTAGCTCAGCTACCTGCTGCTCGAGCCCGGATCTGGTCTCCATGGCGTGCACACCACGATCCCTGGAATGTCTGCCTCTACTGCTCTGCCCCCAGGAATGATCTCTGGCAGCCAATGTATTAATCATCTGGTTCAGCTCGGTTGGAGTCTTAGTGAGAACATCCCCTCCTGGGCATAGA